CTGCTTTACGCTTAGTAATTCTTTACCTATCTTACACTAAGTTATCTAAGTTATTATTATAAGGGTATAGTATCCTCTATTAGGTAGCTATATTATTTACTTATATAGCTATAGTTTTTTTTATAAATACTTATAGTTTATTTAAGCTTTTATTTTACCTTAATATTACTAATTATTTACTATTAGAATTATAGCTTAATATTTTATCTTACGCTAGTCTTCTTAGTCTATAAAGCAAAAAGAATTATAAAGATATATAGCTAAGTGCCTTAACTAGGAAAGGTATAGAAGGTAGGTCTATTCTATTATTTAGACTTTTTACTAGAGAGTCTAAGATTTTCCCCCTCTAGCCTAGACTAAATAGCAAATAGTTACTAACGTATTACTAAGGTTCTACTATAGTTTCTATATAACCCTTATCTTAACACCTTTACACCTAGTAGATAAGGTGTTCTTAAGATTTAGTATCCTTATAGTAATAATATTAGATAGAGGATCCCTATTTACTAGCTATTTCTAAGTAGTAGTATACTACTAGCTAGCTATTAAGTAGAAACTTAGTACTACTTACTACCCCTAAATAGATAGATAGATAAAGTAGTAGAATTAGAATATAAAACACTTCTTATAAGCCTTTTATAATATAAAGTAGGATAATTAGGTTAAATAGCTTCTAATAGTAGAATTTATTTATAATAAGGTATAGTATAAAGTAACTAAGGTATTACTAGTAGAAGCCCTTATAAGTTACGCCTTATAAAACCCCTATAACATAAGACTAATAAAATAAAAACTAGTAAAGGTCTCTATAGCCTATAAAAAGGTTAAGGAGCTAAGAAGCTAAAGGGCTACTATTATTAGTATACTAAAGTCTATAAGCTAGACCTATAAGAAGTAGTATAACTAAAAAAAGATAGATATTAAGTTTAAAGTAAAAAAAAAGGTCTTATTATTAGCTAAATTTATTAAGTAAAAATAACTATTAAAAAAGCTAGTAGATAAGTATTTTAAACTTTTTATAGTAATATAAGTAGTTACTAGTAAAAAAGCCTATAAGCTAAATATAAAAATAAAGTACTATATTTATAATATATTCTTATTATCTTAGCTAGAGAAGTTTAAAAAAGTACTAGTAAAGCCTTAGCCTATTTAGATTAAAAAAAAATATATATATATATAAAGTAAACTAAATAGTAGTATATAAAGGACTATAGTAAAATAAGTAGTACTTTATTAAATAAAAAAAATATAGTAAAAAAAAAAATTATAAAAGCTATAAAGAAATATATCTAGGGATTTATAGTAAAACTATAAGTAAGAGGTTACTAAGGGGGTATAAAAAAACACTAAGTAGAAGTAAGTACTTAGCCTAAAGGGCTAGATTTTTTTTATTATTCTTTAGCACTAAGGCTAGAAAGTATATAGCCTAAGGGCTAGGTATCTAAAGCCTATAGCAGCTAAGAAAAAAAAATAAAACTAGAAAAAGGCCTAAGGGGGGAGGGCACTAGGGAGGTAGTAGCGCTTACTTCTCCTTTTTATTTTTACTTCTACTAAGCATACTAAAGGCTATATTACCTCTAGACTAAAAGTTAAGGTTAGTAGTATACTAAAATAAGAGTTAGTAACTAAGGAGTAGTAAGGGGTTACTAAAAGGAAATAATATATAACCTAAAAGTAAGTAGTAGCCTACTTAAAGAAGAGGGCACCTTAGGCCTTAATAGCCTTAGTTTACTCCTTAAGAAGCATGTTCTAGCGCTAAAGCGCTATAGTAGCTACCTTAGCTAACTTAGCTAAAAAAGTAGTAGTAGTAATAAAGGCCTTAAGGGCTATAACCTTATAGCTATAAAAAAGCTACTCCTCCTCTTTAGCCTTAGCCTTACGCTTAGTATTAGAAGCCTTAGTAGTATCTACTTTTTTTTAAAAGGCTTTTTTAACTATAGTCTAAGTAGTAGTAACCTCCTCTTATATAAGGGGTTAGTTAGGAGGTAGTTATAAGGCACTAAGAGAGATATACCTTATAGTAGTAGTAGTTAGTATATATAGTGTTATTATAGTAAAAGGCCTTAAAGATATTCTTAAGGGTAAAAGTAGTAAAAGTTATAGTATAAGTAGCCTATAAGGGGTTAGTAAAAGGTTACTAAAGTACTTTTTATTAGTAAAAAAAAATAATAATATAAAAATACTTATATAAATATACTTCTTATTATATATCTTAGTATACTAAAAGTAGTTATTACTAGTAGCTAGTAGTATAATTAGGACTAAGATATAAGTAAAAAGGGGCCCTTAGGGAGTAATAAGGTGTTAAACACTTACTAGTAGTCTTAAGGTAGTAAGGAAACTTAGCCTTAGTATTAGCTATATCTATATACTAAATAGATATAGCCTAAAGGTAGTAGTAGTATAAGATAAAATAAACTATAGTATAATTATTTTTATTTTTTTTATCTAAAGAGCTAACAGACTAAGGGGGTAATAAAAAGGTAGTAGTAAGGCCCTTAGTGCTCTTAAGGGTAATAAAAGTAGTAGTATTAGTAGTAGTAATAGTATTAGTAAGTATAGTAGTAAATATAATAGTAGTAATAAAAGAGCTAGTAGTACTAGTACTATTACTAATATTATTACTATTACTATTACTACTAAGTAGTAGTAGTAATAGTAGTAGTAAAAAAAATAATAATAATAATATAAAAGTATTATAAAAAAAAAATAAGTAATAAAGAAATTAATAAAAACCTAAGTTAATTTAGATTACTTATTTTAGGTTAGTATTAGAAAAAAGGCTAGTTATAATAATAACTTAAGCCTATAAAGTTAAGACTAAATAAGCCTTAATAAGAAAAGCTAGCTAAGACTAAAAGGTTACTAGTACTAACTATAAAAAGTAAAATAAAGATTCTCCTTTATTATAAAAGTAGTATAACTTAAAGCTTAATAAATAGTTAATAAAAAAGCTAAATATTATAATAATAAGAATAATAAAAAGTATATAGTACTTAAAAAGGTATTATAAAGTCTAGTTAATAAAAGGTATTAGAGGGTATTATAAGTAGATAAGGTGTCTTTATTATAAAGTAAGTAGTCTTTTACTAAGTAAGGTAATATAAGACTTATACTTTAAGCTAGAAGACTAGACTATACTAAAAAGGTAGTAGTTAGGACCTAGCTAGAACGTAATAGTATAAAAGTAAGGCTAAAGGCAGATAGTTAGCTAGGGAGATAACTACCTATCTAGTAGCCTGCTAGGCCTAGTAGGCGTTCCTAGACGTCTCTTAAGATACTAGAGGATAAGCGTAAGGCGTAAGGCTTAGCCGTTAGACAGTCTAAGTAGCTAATAGGGGGACTACTAGCAGGTAGCTAGCTTAAGGCCCTAAGAGATTAGGAGTTAGGCGTAAGGCTTAGCTATTAGATAGTCTAAGCGGCTAACAGGGGGACCACTAGCAGGTAGCCGGCTTAAGGCCCTAAGAGATCAGGAGTTAGGCGTAAGGCTTAGCTATCAGACGGTCTAAGCGGCCGACAGGGGGGCCACCAGCAGATAGCCTGCTTAGGGTCCTGAGGGCAGGACCTTAGAGGGGGGGGATTATGTCGGGTGCCTAGAGCGGGGCCCCAGGGGGGCACTGGAGTAGGACCAGGACTAGATAAACTAGTCACTAAAGGAACAATAAAAAAGGAAAACTCTGTAGAAGATAGGGGTTAGAGGAGGCATATTGGAATAATCGTCACAATTGAACCCTAACTACGCCTATCGCTGACTCCTTTACTTGATACCATCCCCGCCTCTGACACCAGTGTTGCCAAGATCTCTGCGTATAAGTGCCGCAGTAAATGGCATCACGGTTGATAAAGGCTAGCCTTCAGATGTGACCACTGCGGTAACTGAGACGGCTTTAAACTGGCTAATGAAATTTTTAGCTGTGTCCTAGACAAAAATTGACATTTCTTTGTGCTGGGCTAAGTACAATATATATTTGAGGGTCACCCGCGTGGTTTCATATTGAAAACCAAAGCTGACCCACAGCCCCATACACCGATAACATCGATCAGTCAACTTAACGTAAGAACATGTTGGTTTTAGGTGTCCATGTCGTATTGCTATGGAAGTCTGATCGCTCCGATGTCTGTGATTCTGCGATCGACAAGCAAGTCCACCAAGCTTGTACGGATTCGGTGTAGATCGCCTATGGCATTACCTAAGAGGGTTCGCTATCCCAATGCAAGTGGTCTTATTGGCTAGGATAGCTCGATGAAGCCGGCAATTCACATAATCCTTACGGGTGGCTCCGTGCTTCCGAGTCTCCAGCCCCTTTCTCCGCTTATCGAAGCGACATAGTGCCACGACAGTGTCTTATTTCATTGTACATCGTACTTCCTGGATCCGTCTTTCCTTGCCTGCTAGAGTTCGTACTGTCTGCTATCTAGTTGCCTGGTTCCATCAAATCACTTCAATGGTACTCCGTACTGTTTCTATCTAGAACCCTTCCTTTTTGGTGCTGAGCATCGGGCATGATAATCATACTGTGTTTTCCGCTGTATTCAAGGTGCATGTGAGATTTTAAGAGGCAGTGCCTTGGATACAGATTCATGTTTGGCAGGCAATAGAAAGGGGGTAATTTTAGGTAGCCCACGACCACCGCTAATGTAAGAAGCGACTCAGGAAAGCTCGCTAGGAACTGGAATCCGGGAGCACTAGGAAACTGTCTCACCGATCACTACCCCTGCTTGGAAAAGCGAAACGTGCCTGGTTAGTTAAATATTGGTTAATGTTTCCATAATTTCTCCACGCAGCTCTGCGCGAGCTGATTACCCAGCTTGGAACTCTTGTTCGTTGATGGTTTTTGTTCCCCAAATCAGATCCTTAGGACTCTTGATGTTGAAATAATTTTGGAGCTCTTGGTAAACATTTCTAGACATCATAATTTAAATTACATGGTAGCATCACGAGAACATCTTCGTTACCGACACTCAGTTGACACAATGCCATGTGATTATTATCATGCCGCTTATCGAACGAAAGCACCACCTCCGCTAGCACCAACAAGGTTGCCCGTCATCCATCCGCTCTCCGGCAGGCAGCAAACTCCTACAACACCGGCAACCTCTTCCAGGTACCCGGGGCGTCCACCAATGCTCTGGGCCAAATCTAGAACCTCTTGGCTGTCAACATCAGGCCTAGCCTTAGCAAGTGGTGTAAGGATGTTAAATGGCCGCAGAGCCTCCCGGGGCTCATCAGGCAGACTAGAGTACAGCCCTGTATCCATAGGGCCGGGAGCTACGGCATTGACCGTGGCTCTCTCAGCAAGCTCACGAGCCCAGACACGAGTCATGGCCTCGATTGCACCCTTGGTACCGGCATAAGATGTCTGCCACCAGACACCCCAAGTAGTGGTAGCGCTGGAAATGTTGACGATCCGACCAGAACGGTCAGTGGGCAGGTAGGGGAAGGCAGCCTTCACAAGCAGAGCGGGCGCCTTGCAGTTCAGGTTGAAGGTGGCATCGAAGAGATCAAGATCCAGCTGATCAATCCCCTGAGCGTTCACGGTAGCGGCGTTGTTGATGATGATGTCAATCTGGAAGCGTCCATTTGCGTCGGTGAAATGAGCCTTCGCAGCATCAACGACCTGCTGAGGAGCGTCGGACTTGCTCAGGTCGGCCTTGACGGGGAGAGCCTTGACGTTGTACTTGGTCTCGAAGTCCTTGGCGAGCGCCTGTGCCGTCTCCGTTGAAGCATCCGTGGCATAATTGATAACAACGTTGGCGCCTCTGCTTGCGAAATGCTCGGCAACAACGGCACCGAAGCCTTACGGAACAAATCGTCAGTTCAGAGTCATTTTGGAGCAGGCCCTCGTACCCTGGCCCATAGACAGCTCAACACTATTCCGAGGAATCGAGGTACATACTTCGCGAAGCACCGGTGATAATGGCAAGTTTGCCCTCGAAAACCCTGAAAGGAGCCATTGCTTCTCGAATGTGAAATGTCAGGAGAAGAAAATATAATCAATGCGACGTGGTGGCGGGGAGAAAGTTATCCCTCCCTCCACCGTGCGCCTTATATACTGTTATTGTCTTGGTCTTTCTGCCGTACTCTATATCCACAACAGAAGCTAGTCAACTGGTCGATGCCTCCGGGCCGCATCCTGAGCGAATTCCGAGCAGTAGGTAGTCTGGGTCAGGGGTAAAGAAGGTTCTTAGGGCCCATGGTACTCCACATAGCCACGTCAATTAGGTACCCGAATCGCTTGTCGATCTCAATGTTCATGAGTTACTCGTGAAATCCTTTGGTAACAGCTCCTCGGCAACAGTATCAGGGTTGATGAGAAATTTCAGTGACAGGGGCATATGTGGTAGGTATTTCAGCGTCTTGACGAAAAGATGGCCCAAATTTGAAAATAAGCGAATAGGAAGATGATGCCAGTTTGCTTGGGTCTGGAATGTGTGTATCTCATAGAGGCCTGCACTATGATTTGTTCTCGGACTACGGATACTCCAAGAAAGAAGTGGAATGGGACCCAGAGCTGCAGCCGAGTTTCCCAACCCCATAAAAGTATGTACAGTGTTGAAGAACTTGTTCCACATTTCTGGGTCAAGACGACCTGGTTCTACTCCGCCTTACACCGCCGGAAGCCATTGCCAAATGCCCCGGTCTTCGCCAAAGGGCTATTTGTACCGAAAATGGCAGCGACCCGCTACTACGGCGACAATCTGTTTCGAGACGGTGGGATCAATGCTACGCCGCGTAGAATCAGGGTAGCAAGTACTGTGAGAGTGGCATAAATTTCGCGAAGCATTGACCTTAATAATCCTGGTATTATACGATGAGCTGTGAAATTTCCGGTATGATCAGCATATTAGATATTAGTCTTCATAGGAACTTTGTGAAAACCTCAAAGATAATTAGTGGAGGTTAATAAAACCTCCCAAATTTCGGACCAAGAAAGCAGTGCGATATCAAATGGCGAACGCCTCTACCGGGACATGTTCGCTAACGAGAATTACGCGAGGCGGAATTAATCTGAAGCCATACTAGAGTGTCGAGGCAGGGTATTATAGGCGCTTGGCGGAGCAGAATATTCTGAATGTGAAGTATGGGTAATACGTTGGAACAGTACGGGTGGAGTTTACTTTTAAAGTTCAATAAAGTAGCAAACTCGAGGGATGTAAACTCTCTTCCCATGCCGTCTCCTTTCCTATGCTGTCTCCCTTTATGGCAAGGCGGATCACAGTGCCGTACGGCATATATCTCATGCTGGGGTTTGGTGGATACCATCTTGCCCTTTTGTTGCTAAAACAATCGGGCCGCTTTTAAGCAATCGACAGCCCCAGGTTCGATCCCGCGCTGTCACTTTTCTTATAAGTTTTCTGAGCCAGAAGATCTCGTTTTTCTTACTTGCTTGTGTTGTCGCGCTTCCATCTCCCATCGACGGAATCGTAGAGCACGAAGCTGGTTCTTCAGTCGTAACGCGCGTCGTTCGCCACAAGATTGGATGCTCTAGCGTCAGACGATACTACGGCTACTATACAGCGGTAACGCTGCAACTCGGACAAGATGGGCGCCGCTACATCAAAAGATATGGCCGCTGCGGTCTTGGTGCCGCTCCCCTTCAACATCATCACGTTGGTGCTTCGGTTCTGGATTCGAACGCAAAGGAAGGCCTGGGGACCGGATGACTGGGCCATGGTTGCCACCATTGTAGGTTACGTTTTCGACGCCCCAAAAAGTTGGAGACTAAAAGATCGAAGCCTGTTTGGGTTGTATCCCAAGTTGGCCTGCTAGGCATGGCCTGGAGCGGAGTTGGAGCAATTGATGCAACATTGACTGCACAACAGGTGATGAACTCCTATTTTGTGAGTACCTTCTCTGGAATGAATGACCCGGTCAGCTCTAATGAGAGGCTCTCCAGTGGTTTTACGTGTTTCAGGAATTCTGGTGCTTCACCTTGGTCGCGGTGAAATGGTCAATCGGGTTTACTCTCTTGCGCATTGGTAACGGACAACGTTGGGTGCAAATAGTCATCTACACTTGCCTTGCGCTAGTCACTATTTGCACCGGAGGTACTGGCATGTATTTGTTCTTTCAATGTTCGCCAGTTGAGTAAGTTGTCCCGGTGGTGCTTCCTGGAATCTACATTTACTGACTGCATAGAAAAAACTGGAATCTTACGATAGAAGGAACCTGCAACCCCCGAGAGATACAAACAGCACTTTCGTTTCTTGTTGCTGCTGTGTCTATCTCTACCGATTGGATCTTTGCCATCATGCCGTTTGCGCTGATCTGGAAACTGCAAATGCCGAGCAAAGTCAAGGCATCTGTCATTGGACTTCTGGGCTTGGGTTTCTTGTGAGTTCCTGCTCAAGGAGCCCCTGACATGACCGTTCTCTTGCTAACAACAGTCTACCAGCGCGTCTATTGCTCCCATCGTCCGACTCAAGTATCTCCTCCTGCTGAACGATTCCGCAAAGTTCCTTTACGGTCTAAGCATTATTCTTGCCTGGGCCCAGGCAGAAGTCGGCATCGGAATGCTTGTTGCGAACCTCCCCGCCTGCCGACCCCTTCTCGAACGAATGCTTTCGCACCTGACGTCCTTTACTAACTCCAAGAATAAGTCCACGAAGGATCCCGCATCGTCAGTGGCAGCTAAGAATAGCTATCTTGAACTAGGCGAGAGGGATGCGACCAAGAAAACTATTGGCGCCAGCAGCCGGTCTGGCATCGAGACAAGAGTATATGGTAGGGACATGGCCGATGACAGCAACGAAAGCCTGCCAGACGATCACAGTCAAAAGAGAATTGTGAACGGGAATGGCTTCGGCGCCATTCGAGTACAAAGAGAATTCGACATGGAAGTTGAGAAGGAGTCTGGTGACCACGCGGTATGAATGATACAAAATAGATCAACATTGACAATTGTACGATGGGGTAAAAGAGAAAACCAATTTAATATGTACCCGCGAGTATATTTAAGATACTTGATGGCGATGACCGTTCAGCCATTACATTCTGCTTGGTGGCAGGTGTTGTTCGTCAGCGTTGAGTTCTATTACGTGGTCCATTGGGGAACAAACGAACTCGCAGCCACATATTCATTGCTAATGTAATTAGAACTAATTTCACCCCCTCAAGAAGAAGAAGAAAAGACTAAAACACTTCCGACTTCGTAGCGATCTTGTATTTCGGAGTCTAGCATTTTTGACGGACTTGATTCCTTCTTTCTAGGTCCAGAGTCATCACTTCTGTGGCCAGACGCTTACGAAGCGGAGCGGGCCGGAGCGGGCCGGAACTGGCGTTCTGCCGTCTCTATAGACGGCCCGTTAGCTTCACCTACAGTGGCTAAGGAGTTCTTAATATAGTTCGGCGTGTGTGACCCCTGTTTACGCAGAAGTATCGAAAGCATAAGGAGTTGCAATTGTGGCTTACCGTTGAGAATTCCGAAACCGGCGAGTCCCAAAAGAAGTCATCATTCTCTGTGTTGTTTTCAAAACCATCAAACCACTTACAACTTTGTCCCACGAAATCTAGCTACCACCTGAGCCAGACTCCTTGGAGATCATTCATGTCATCCTTCCCATCAGCCATACATAGTCACTCCATTTACCGAAGACGGTTTAATAGGGCGCTTTCTCACTGACAAGATATTCATAGTTATATATGATCTAATTTAAGGGACTGCGGCACATCTTCACGTACCCGCCCATGTGAAACCTTGAGCCACTTAAAGCACGGGGCCTTTTGATGGGTGTCAGAGTTGAGATGCGCCGAGCCGCTATCTAAGTAGTCAGAGCGCCGGGTTGGTCGACAGATGGAAGTTACTCGGAAATAGAAACAATCTTCCTCGATAGATCTCTTTTCCACCGAATCTGCTGGGTTTCGTATTCCGAGCCCAGCACTATCTCCGATTCCATGACCGAGTCACTGCCCTGCACACGCATGCTAGAGAACCGTTGAGGAACAAGCCATTGCTTATAAAGAGAGGCTCGGCTATCTTTCGACTCCAAGAAGTAGTGAGAAAGATTCCTTGTCTTCATACAATGTCCGCCTCTGACAAAGACACTGTCGCAGCTGCCGTCGCTGTCGAAGGCACTACCTGCAACAATCTCCTGGCACCAAACCCAAAATTGGACAATGCCGTTGCAAATTCTCAAAAAAACAATCTGCCGGAGATCTCGGTATCTCCTCTACAAGGCTAGTTCCTCACCATCCTATGCCAGCTGATCAACGCAAAGACTGTTCTCGAGATCGGCACGCTCGGTGGCTACTCAACCATATGGCTTGCACAAACAGGCGCAAGGGTTACCAGTATCGAGATCAACCCGAAGCACCGCGAAGTCGCCCTGGAGAACGTCGCGGGACTTGACACTGAGATCACACTCGGTGCTGCTTTGGATGTTCTTCCGAAGCTGGCCAACGAAGGTCGCAAATTCGATATGGTGTTCTGCGATGCCTCTTGGGGCGAACAAGAGAAATACTTCGATTGGGCAGTTAAACTGACAAGGCCCAAGGGGTGCATTGATGTTGATAACGTTGTTTGGAATGTGCTTGAAAGCAATACCTCACAGACAGGGAAGAATTCGCTCTTGACTCATGTGGGCAAGAATAAAAGAGTCACGGCTACCTTGGTTCCCATGGTCTCAACGGCACACAGTGCATCTGCGGGACGGACTATTCTTGATGGTTTTTTGTTGGCGGTAGTCAATTGAGGCCTGTTGATGGAGACAATGACTTTAATAAAGTGGCCACAGTAATGTTTTATATGAAATCGTTTAGTAATTCGACTACCACAGGTACAATATGACGACAAGGAGTAATTGGAATATGCCATAGTTGGTGAAGATTGGACCTGAATGATAGCTGATTGCAAGGTCATTGCCCTTGAATGATTCATGGGTAGCATTTGGCTCTAATATCTAAATATGAAATCCACTAATTATACACTCTCTGCGTAGCCAGTCTCCTTGACTGGTGCTTGCTTCTTCTCGAAAATCTTCTGCCCAATCTTGTCCGTCATTTGGTCTGTCTTATCCCCCAAGAACGTTTTGATGCAACCGTAAACGCCGGAAGTGAACCAAAGAATAGCGTTCACTAAATCTATCCAAACAGCAACTTTCATCACCCCGGTTTTGCTGCCCTTGTACGAGTCTTCGCTGTCTCTCTTGAGAAAGATCGCCGCGAAAATGCCGAAGACGACGATCCAGGCAATGAAAAGAATCAGATCCCAGACAAAAGCGCGATATGTCTTGAATATCTTGATTTTGCTGCCGATGAAAGGAATAGCGCCGAGGGGCGTGGCGGCAACAAAGAGGACAGCTGTGACGGCCGAAGCCCCGGCGACAGTGATGGCAAGAATCCACTCAGGCGAGAAGCCGTCGTCGCCCTTGCGGTCTGCGTCGACGCGGTTCCCGTAGAAGCCGCAGGCTATGAGGGCAAATAAGAACTGCAGCCCGCGGCACACAAGGCGTGGTATGACCTCAAAGGTCTTGAGCCAAGTCTTTCCCAAGGTCTTGCCTGTCTCGGCACCTTCATTAAAGACACCGCGGCCGGCTTTGCGGCCAATTTCCCCCTTGTCGGCGGCCCGAAACTCAGACGCGGCGCCGGCGAGGCCTTGAGCACTGCGGCCTAGCTCAATGGCAGTCTGACCAGCCTGGAGAGCGGTTCCGAGTTTGCCCATTGTTGCTTTTTGATGAAGAGTAATGAGTGTTGATGCGAAGTTGCGAAGAAAAGGTTGGTGAATTACGAATTGAAATACTTTGTGGGAGTGAGAGACGTCGAGAAGGCCATCAAACGTTAATGTAACGACAAAATAATGCAGGAATGCAAGACCGGCTGGCAGCTTAAACAGAAATACTCCAAGGAAAAACGGTCGCTAAGTGATCGGGAAGGAGTAATGAAACAACGCAGACTGAGAGAGTGACGATATGCTTGGATCTTATGGCTAGTATCTCTTCTTTATAGTGTTTGGGAGGCTACGGCTCACTCGCCTTGTTAGAAGGTGCTACAAATGAATCACGGCAAGCAACAGTCACGCAAATAGTAACAGCAAGTATTTGGCGCTGGCGCTGTTGCAATGACGGGATGATAGCAGCCAATCATTCCAGAAGCTGTGGTTTGTCAACCCCTTGCAGGTGATCAAACATTGGAGGCAGCGGGGCTCAGACGTCTGAGCTGCTGTTACTTGATCCCCAATCATTGTCGAATGCCGCCCGGTCGGGGGGCGCTTATCAGAAACTGTCGCCCAATACGCGCCGACAAAGAGAAGCCCTTTCGTGCCGGCCTTAACAACAACCAACGGCGCAGGCTGTAGATGAAATGTAGGCATCCACAACGGCCGATTGACAGCCGAGCGGAGGACTTTTGTGCGCAAGAGGGGCCGATTGCGGCGGTTGACCGATTATGGAAACGTAGAGAGGCTTGCGACGATGCTACCCGCAGCTTCTGGTCATGAACACAGCCAATACCCCGCGAGCCGAGCCTCATTAAATCAGCATGATGTGGGAGGACTCAAGTGAGCGAACCTGAGAGAATTGCCCGCCACCAACGGCTTTTCGACACTAATATTCTGACGTGAGTTCATCTTGCATTTAAGGGTATGCCTGGCCTGTCTCTGCTCAGCGTTTGCTGTGTCCTTGGCGCGTTGACGTCTAAAATAACTTAACAATAAAGGTATGCAACTAGTGAGACATGCAAAAATTACCGCTCACGCCCTCAATCGAGGTATCAAATATGGATTTTTTTTTCTCGATGTAAATCTCAGACACAGAGCAGCAGGGGCGAGCTATAGCCTCTGTCGTGCTATCATATTAATGACATATGTATGATGCAGCTTCTACATCTTTCCATTACTACCTAGAGTAAAACACTCTGTAACAATAGAGTAACCTCTGTCTAGAAATCAGCTAGCTATATAAATCTAGTACTAGCAATATTTGTGACAGTAAGAGTAGTGATGGTGAGAAGTACTAACCATGTTAGCTAAACTTGAAATGTGTCTCAAAAACGACGCCGTTAATCGCAAGCAGCAATTAACGCCTTATGTACTACGACAAAATGGTAGGGAGTGGTCAATAACTTCCACTTGGTGCTATTATAGTTTGAAAGCAGTGATCTCAAGACGGCCCTTGCAGCATAGCGCAAGCTTTTTTCAGTTCCGATCACATGCCTCCAAATTGATGTCCGAACCTTCCGCTTCGGCCACACCCCAGCGACAAAACACAGGAAACCTTTTTCCAAAGCCACCTCCAAAAATTATTCTGTTTTTGTGTCGCCCGAGTTGCCGGCCCTTAGTGCACCTTGAATCAATGCGACTTGTTAATTCTTTGTCCATCTTCAGCTTTGTCCTTTTTCGTTCTATGCCAACCTTGTAGAACACCATGGTCTACGATGGATCCAAAAAAGACGTCGAAGCCGACGAGGGCATCGCTGAAACCAATGGTTCTCGGCGAACTGCTACCAACGAAGCTCTTAGCACCCATATCAAAAAGATCGTTAGTTGCCGTTCCATGTATCCGATAGCGTCCTACTGTCATTGCTATGATTGCTTGTTCTGACGCGTATACTCTCCTAGTTCGACCGCCGATTGATGCCGATTGTGTGCGGCCTCTATGTCTTGTCCTATCTCGACCGAGGCAACATAGGCAACGCAAAAACCGCTGGAACACAAAGTGATCTTGGCCTGAGCGATTCTCAGTGGTCATGGGTGCTGAATTCTTTCTACATTGCCTACGTCTGTTTCGAGTGGACCACAGTGCTGTGGAAGATCTTCCCAGCCCACATATACGTTGCCGCTCTCTGCATCTTGTACGTCGTTGTCTTTTCTTCTTCCATCTTTCTGTAGGCAGTCAAACATAGCTGACGATGTTTAAGACTTGGTACCGCGGCTATGTGTTCTGGAGCAGCAACTAACTTGGCCGGGCTCATCGCTTGCCGCACACTGCTAGGCCTGTTCGAGGCAGGCTTAGGGGCAAGCGCCCCGTACTTCCTTTCTCTTTTCTACCGTCGAGAAGAACTTGGTTTCCGCGTGTCTCTTCTATTGGGAACATCCCCCTTAGCCAACTCGTTTGCCTCAGCACTTGCATACGGCATCGTTCGTATCCGAGGCTCCTTGGAACCGTGGCGCTATCTATTCATTTTGGGTGCGTAACCCCCCCCAAATTAACACTCCAGTTTGTATCCTCAAAACTTACTTGAGCATAAAGAGGGTGCACCCACCGTCATGTTCTCCCTCGTCGTCTTTTTCTTCCTACCCGACTCCCCAGCGTTGGCAAAGTTTTTGACGGAAGACGAAAAGAAACACGCGGTAGAGCGACTCCAGGTCCGCGACCGCACCATGAAGAACCGCCTTAGCTGGAAGCAAGTGTTTGCTGGCTTGTCCGACTATCAGAATTATGTCCACTCGGCCATGCATTTCTGCTGCAACTATTCATTTGCTGCATTGTCCAACTTCCTACCCACCATTGTCAAAGGATTGGGATACTCGTCCATCAACGCACAGGGTCTGACAGCGCCAGTATACTTTGCTGCTTTCTTGTGCTGCATTGCGTCGGCTTTGATTTCTGACAGATACAGCAAGCGCGGCTATGTTGTAGCGGCGTTTGCAATGCTGGGCACCGTGGGATACTTGATCCTCACTGTCGTACGGGATTTGAATAGGCCCGGTTTGCGATATGCCGGTATCTGGTTTGCAGCTTGTGGCATATATCCGGCTCTGGTGATTAACGTCACCTGGATTCTGAACAACCAGGGAGGCGACTCGAAGAGAGGAGCTGGCTTGGCCATATTGGCAGTTTTTGGCCAGTGTTCATCCTTTATGAGCAGCACCGTATTCCCTTCCACCGACGGGTAAGTGACTAATGTTCGCTCCATGCGCTGGAAGAAAGATCACCGCTGACATGCTTTTCATTTAAGACCTTTTTATACCAAAGGCTGTGCCATTGGGTGTGCCCTCACAGGCATGATAGTCATTATGTCACTGACATTACATTTTCTACTGGAGCATGACAATCGTAGGAGGGACAGGGAGCTTGGGCCAGTCGACGAGAATACAGCAGTTGATGTGACGGATGAGGGCGACAAGCACCGAAACTTTCGTTACCTTACTTGAGTCAAGCTTCATGATACGGGAACAAAACCCAGCCATACGGATAACTGAACAAACACGAAAGGGTATCGTGGCCGTATCGAACGGCGCGGCATCCCACCTTTTAGATCGTTCCTAGGCCGACTGGATGCTGTAACTTCTGCCTCAGTAATCGCCGGATCCACGGAATTCATGATTCATACAATGGCTTGGGCTCTGACCCTCTGCATCCTGTTGGTGACATTCACCTAGACTGCGTAGCATGTGTCTTTCCGGACCGGCAATGCAGAGTCTATCGTAGGTACTAACAATGCTATAAAGAGTTATCTTGTCGTTGATAGCAACATGCCCTTAAGACGTCTAAGCTTTAGATTATATACAGGCTGTTTCATACTAATATCATAATGAATTACTCAAAGTGGAGTTTAGTGTCTAGAACTGTACTTGAACTCTGACCTAGTCTTTAGATTCGAGACTATACCCTTTAATACTGATGATCTGCTAACGGTATTAGGAATAGTTAAGTAAAGTTTAGGTAGTATAGAGGTTGGTAGTATGTAAGTCTTGACGACGATAGACTTGAAGAATAGCAGCAGTAGCAGCAGTAAATAGGTTAGAACCTAGTAGTGTCTTAAAAGCAAACCTGAGGGCAAGTTCATCTAAGAGGTAGAGGGAGGGAGGTTGCCCGCTGTGTAAAGTTATGCCTTATTTAGATATCTACTGCAGCACTTCGTAAGCGTTACGTACTCAAGTGCCTATTAATCGTTGAAGTCGTACGATAGAGGTGCTCTTCGCTGGTGAATTTGTAAGCCGAAGTGAAGCTCGTCGCTGGCAGACGCTCTGAAAATACGATACGAGACTATTATATTCCCTTCGATACGTATATTAGTAGTGTCTGAATGGTCAGAGCTGAAGATAGGCTACACTCACCCGTAAGCATCCCTTTGTTCTAGCGGGATAATAGCACAAATTCTCTCGATCTGTTTGAGTCACTGTTTGGTGTCGACTACAGTGTAGACGATCCAGACTCAATCTTCAAGTTGCAAACAGTTCTTTAGGGGAGAAAACCTGGTAATCAAACCAGCTGTGATTGTAAGTAACGAGCTGGACTACTAGAACGATTTAACCCAATTCTGGTTTCTTTCATGGCCTTGAATATTGATGGGCATGCGACGACAATGTGCGTACCCTTCTCGCCGGACGTCATCATTGCACCAGCAGCGCATCTACAAAGCCAATAAAGGATTCTTGTAAGTAAAGCCAAGAGCTGGAATCGACAAGATGGCACCGAAGAACAGCGACCGCCAGCGGGACAGCTGCGGGCCGTACTTCATTAGGGAGAACTGGTGTGGTGGCATAATATGGAGATTTGAAACTAGCGAAAACCCGAACAGGGATTAGGTTCGAGATCCACAAGTCTGTGGTAATACGAGAATTTTTGCTGCAGCCAGAATGCGCAAGCAGAATGAAAGCCAAAGAACGGGGCGGGGAAGGGAATAGCAACTGCAATGAGACGTGGATGAGTATTCTTAGCTCCGGGAATCATACGTTTACCCGTGCCGCACCACGCTGTGCCTCTCCTAGCTCCTTACCATGCATGCATTGTGGTGTTATGATGGTTGGAAGAAAATTGCAACTCTGCCATGGATTGACCCAAGAAGCTCGCAGAACAAGCTCTGCCCCCTGGTCAGTTCTGGCCATTGAGAGACCGGAGACGGAGGCAACTTTGCCGCTTGTCGGTTGCAAAAGTTCTTGCTACTAGGGCCTACGGAGACCCTGAACCAACCCGGCCGCTTCGCCAAAAGGCAGGTCGGAACTCGTGGAGGACTAGGGATAGATAGGATCGCTTCGCTGAACCCCACCCCCTCTACGTATGGGAATTATTGGCATACCTGCCTGTACAGCTGCACTATAAATTAAAAATAAAAAGAAAAGAAAAGAAAAGATAAAAAAAGTTGGTGAGGTGTCGAGACACCCAGGCACAGCTGGTCATCAAACTTATGCCTGCACCGATACTGCGCCAACGAGTGTCGCAGAAGTTGGAATAGAGTCTTTACGTCCACGCTGGTGAGTATCACCTTGCCTCCGGGTTTCCTCTTTCCTGATGTCTTAAGGTTTCGTTGTCTTTGGCTCCTCATTTCCATCGGAGAGTGTCTGTGGTGCTCTCTGGTATTGTGGGCCAGTCATAGGGATTATGGTTAAGAGGATCCATGGTAATCGCCCTCGCGCCTTACAAGGGAGGACAGGGGAGGCAATCCTCCATCCCCTGATTTGATCTTCATCGGTTGGTTCGGTTACCATCTCCATATATTCCAAAGATCTGACCGAGACACCGCTGGCAAGGAAATGTTGCTAAACCCCAACGATAGGTTTAAACCAGGTGATGGGCCGTTGTTTTGATCGCGGAATCGGGCCGGATCCCTCGGGTCCATAATGGCTGGTGAAGTACGGAGTAACAGCCAGATGAGCTTAGTCGTGCGAAATGAGATAGACTCTACATGCACCCCACTGAGAAGCAAGGTTGGCAGCTTAATCCCATCGCCTCCGTGTTAGAACTAGGCCTGGTTATCAAAACCCAAGGGCGGCTGCATACAGGCATGGAAGAACAGATTGTCGAATCACCCACGGTGTTACGACTGGAGTCTCGCCATAGTAGCATGTCCTTCTTGCAAGCTAGAAGGTACTGCCATGGATTGCCTCTAACTCTTCCCTGTCGATCCGAAGAGACGTGATATTGCGGAATTTTAGGCCGCAGGCGCCGACATTTTAGATTCCTGTTGGTTCTGTGAGCGTGATCCGAACGCTTGTTCTTCACTTCCTCGCACCATTCTTCCCACTTGCTGCATATCTGTCAGATGTCCAGTTGTTGTAGTGACAGCTGCAATTGATGAAAGTGCCACCTACTTACCCTCCCAGTCTCCGTGGCTCGCTTGGAAGAGTTTTATGTCGCTTCCGAATCCTTTGTACCTGCATCCAAGCCAGACAAGCTTGAAGGCGGCAAAGCCATTCGTGATCCTGGGCACCATTAGTGGTCTGTCTACCAACCGTTTTGAAATTTCGGGTAAATCGTTTCGTAATTTTTATTTTTATTTTTTATTTCTTTTTAAGCTTTCAACCTGTTCAAGGGATGCAAATGACACATATCTATCTGTACACCCGCCTACCCTTCAACTGACTACCATTCCTGCTTGACGTGCCCATGGCCGGTCCTGACACGTAAAGGCTTGTCTGTGCTTCTCGAACCCGACAACGTCGACGTTGCGTTACTTATCAGCTATGACGGGCGTCACCAAAACGGCTGTTGTGGTGAGTAAGAGTTATATTTCCTTGGCTCTCCTTGGCAACCACTTATTGCACCATCCCATCTGCTAACGTATACTGAAAAGCCTATCGAGGCCGTGCTCCTTACGCTTGCAGTCACCCTTGTTCTCGCACGATTATACCTTCGTCTGGTTCTGCAGCGCCAGACACTCACTGTTAGCGATTGGTTTCTCATTGTGTCGATTCTCGATGCCATCGCGCTGTTCTCGACCGACACTATGGCGTACAAGTTGGGCGGAATGGATGAGTACGACCCGTTTGCTCCAGAGGCACCAGAGGACCAGCAGATTACGCTCATGAAAGTTTCTTTTGCGGGCAACTACTTCTACGACACAGGCATTTACTTTCCAAAGCTGGCTTTGCTGTCCTTTTACTTCAAGTTGATTCCACCAACGATGCCTTTGTTACGGAGAGTCCTGTACGGAACGTGCGGGCTGACACTGGCTTTCGCCATGACCACTGCCTTCTTGGATACGTTTTGGTGTGGTCCCGACGTGTCTGTTAACTGGGGCTTGGATTCTTCCTGCTCAACTTTCGACTCTAAATCAGTATTCCGCATCGATTGGGGAATGAACTTTTTGTCAGATCTGTTGAGTATGTTCTTTTTGCCCAAATTTTGTTTATTGCTCTTAGCTCACCAATTCGAAGTCTTTGCTATTCCGTTCCCGCTTCTGCACGGTCTTCAGCTCAGTAAAAGATATATTATTGGGCTTGCAGCGACGTTCTCCACGGGCATGATCACAATAGGAACCAGTGTGGCGAGATTTGCCACTGTCGAATCCATCCAGGCATGGACCAATGTTTGTAAGTTTCCCCGGACCGATTGCTGTTCTCAACAGACTAACCAAAGAACAGATGTGCTATCAATGACAGAGATGGCAGCCGCCATCATTGTGGTATCGCTGCCAGCCCTCAAGTCGCTTCTGCATCGTCGTGGACTGGACAAGTCGAAATATGGAACTGGCAAGACAGAGACTTACAAGAAGAACGTAACAGCAGCCAGCCGTAATCATTTCAAGCTCTCTTCGGGGACAGATCCATATGAAGCAACGACACGAGTGGTCGCCGAGGAGGATTCGGGCAGTGAGGTGGAGCTGAATAATCTCCAACGATCGGACGTGATTTACAAGTCGGCTCGCGTGAGCGTGACATACCAAAAGCGAGAGGATGTTGGTAAAGAGGAAGGGTTGTCGAAGCCTGTATCCTAGCTTAGCTCATCTACCCCCAGCACGAACGAAGCAAGGGGAAGCGGGGAGCGGGAGGGGTGCACCATGTACATTAAGAATTAGCCGCGAGTTTATGCGGCCACGGCCCGAACAAGGATCGGCCGAATGGTCAATTGTACCCCATCCGGGTTAATACAGCGATGCACGTCTACGGCGTAGCTGATGATTTATTTATTTATTTTTCTACTATACCACCCGAGCAAGCCAATGCAAAGCTTACAAATGACACATCGTTTACCGAAACCGATGTACGAGGGGGCAAGGGAGCGAAATTAGAAAGAGGAGGGGGAAAAGGGTTCTGGTCTGATTTGCGCACCAACATGCCATATACCCACCTGTGCAGGTTCTGAGGCCTTGTTTCCGCATCACTGATCCCAACTGCTGTTCCTTCTGTATGGCCCAAGGCCAAGCCGGACCACTGGTCTACAAATGTCTCGAGGGAGGCCGCATCAAGTCCAGCCAATAGGAATCAGACCATCAGTGACTCCTTGCAGTCATCCCCTGCTTTTGCTAATTGACGGGCCAGAGTTCTGTGTTGTCCATGCTTGATATATGATCTGACGTCCCGTCGCACCAGTTTCAGCCACTGAGTCAGTTCATTTCTTCTTTCGTCGTTCAGTTTCTCAGCTTCTAGTCAAGATGGCGTACTTCATTGATGGAAAAGATTGCATGGCAGGTCATCTTTCTATTTTCAAACGTCCTCCTATGCTGACATTATTTTCAGATATCGGAATGGATTCTGTTGACAGCCTCCTATGTCTTCGTCGGCCTGCGCGTGTACACACGCCTCTTCCGCTTGCGGGAGAAGCTGGTCTTGTCCGACTATCTTCTCCTCCTCTCGGCTTTCAACGCCCTCGCCCTGATTATATGCGACACGTTGACATACCAGATGGGTGTCATGGACAACTGGGAACCGTCTGTTAGGCTATCCAAGGTTTGCCTTAGCCCATCAGTTGACGAGCTATCTGAGAGCAAGACTGATTCTGTTTCAAGATATCCTTCGCCTCCAATTACTTCTACGATGTTGGAATGGGTTTTCCGAAGATGAGCATGCTTGCTTTCTACTGGGCCTACTTCCCCGCCGACACTAGCCCTGCGATGCGCAAGGCCCTGTGGGGTATCACTGCGTTCGTCGGGCTTTCGTACATGGCCATCCTCTGGGATGACACATTCTTCTGCGGCAAGGACGTTTCAATCCAATGGTCTCAGGAGGAAGGTGCTTGCAGCGTCTTTTATGCACCTGAGCCCTTCATCCTCAACTTCACTCTCAACTTGGCTTGCTACATCTTTGGTACGCGTGCTCGCCCACCCAAACGTTAGCAGACATGCTATCAACGTCTCCGTACTAACTTTCATTAACAGTCTATGTGCTCCCTCTTACCCTCTTGATTCAGGGCGTTCTGAAGCCGTCGGCGGGTCTCAATTTCACCCTTGCCCTTGGTCTTTTGACCATCTTCACCACTATCGTCCGTTTCATCACCCTCAAGGTCGGAACAGGACAGGAGAACCTTGTCTGTACGTATAATGGCAATTCATTCTTTCACTCGTCGTTGTGTGAAAAATGCCTAACGCGCGTCAACTAGACCCTCTCAGTGTCCTCGAAATGACGCTTGCCATCACTGTCGTTGCCCTTCCTGGCCTGAAGCCTCTCTTGGATGGCCGGTCTAAGAGCCCATCAATCGATACCGTCGAAGTCGAAAATCAGGAGAAGAACTTCTCATGAAGAATTCATACGCGTTCCAATTGTATATTTGGAATTCGTTACCATGGTCATGGGTTTGCGTCACTCCAGTCGATCCCGCGGTCCTTACTTGACCACTTGACGTAACAACTGCTTTGTGAGGCTCTTCCGCGCTTTATTACGAGGCAATAGACATCTGGAGTTATCTATGTTTCATATCCCACCATAAGAAACTTTCCAAAGCCTTGGAAGTAACCAGAGGCGAAAGAAGTATTGACCCGGAGAGACGGTTTCCAGGAGACTTCATATCATTCAATTTCGTGCACATAAACATTCGAGGCGCTTTATTTGCGACCGGTTTTAAGAAATTAAACATTTTTAACTGAATCCGAACTCCCAGCGTGCCCCATATAATTTGTTGTTTGATTTCGAGGTGGTGTATATGTGTGTCATTTCTGCTTAGTGGATAGTAGCATTGATACCTTCCGTCTCATCTGCTGGCTTTTGACACCTTAACACATGCTTCACAGTGGAGGTCTCTTCCAAAGATTATTATCATAGTCTGTCGCATATATAAAGAATCCATCCAGCGGTTGTTTACTACGCTTAAATTGATCTCTTCCACAGTAATTGGTATCGCTGGCGTAGGTGATTGTAGTGACGATTTGCCGTATTGTTCCATACATGATACAAGCATGGGACGCTCTCTGTCCAAAACGAACGTCATTTAGTGCTGGCTAAGATTCCACAATCCACTGGCCTCTTATTCCAGCTTTAATCTGTCAACCCAGTTCGTATATCACATCCAGGTAACAAAGATAGCATCTCAACTTGTCTGCCCCATACTGCCAAGTGCTCAAAGGCACTCCAGCAGCTAATATATTTACGGCAGCACGCTAGGGTATGAGTCAGGCTTCCATATGTTCAATTTTATAGTACGAAGCGGACCTTTTGTCTTTTGTTGACTGTCGTGACGATGAATCTCGATCGATTATATTTGCTTGGTAATATGACTGTTGTGATGCGTTCTTGCAACGACCCTGATGGCAATAGTTCAATGTGGCCATAGTGTAGGAGAAGTCAGCAGTCAAGGGCTTAAGCATAATCTTAACCCAAGGTTTCGACTACTAGTCTCGAAGAAAGATTAGCAACATTAGTAGGCGACTAAGACCCTAGAATCATACAAACCACTGGATCTTAGCGTCTCCCCTAAGCCTACAAGGGAACGCAGCCTAGGAAGAGCTACCCTCCACAGACTACTAGCAGCTAGGACTAGCCATAGAGATTTCGAAGTCTACCGAAAAGCATTTAACCACAAGGGCGCCTACCTAAAATGCTCCTGTAGTAAACAGGAGCCCTTACTCTACCCTCTGTTCTACTAGAAGGCAAGAAAAATGCTCATACTACTCAACTACAGACGACATACTACAAGGCAACTAGGTGTAGACTAGCTAGAATTTACTACTCACATAGTAAAGACTAACTTATTTACCTGCAACTTCGTGTAACACTAGATCTACTTAGGCTACTACACTAAGCACTAAGAAGTTATTGCATAGAGCAACTTTGTCACAGAAGATATAAGGCGTTAATTACTATCCATAGTTAATGGCGTCGTCTTTGCGACAGAAGCACTTTAGTCTCCCTCTCTCTTCCCTCCTTTTCCATTGTACCCTTATGTAGAAAGTATAAACATACACTACATCGCAAGGACGTCGAAACATCTAGGGCGTAGTTTTAGGTCTTATCTACAAGCAAGAGCTACTAGCCAAAGTGTATACTAGCACTATATAGCAACCAATTATGTCGGAAGGACTATAGATGGGTTTGATGCATCAACAAAAACGTTCTTGACGGGTTGTAAAAGGCATGTATTCTCTAAGTCTAGGTATTCTGGCCGGGTGGAAAGTGGCTAGTTATATAGACCTTCTGGCAACTGACTCGTGCGTGCGAATCTGGCTGAAGTGTTATTCCAACAAATTAAGTATAAATTCTAAATCCCTCCTGCTTAACAATGCGCGGGTAGCTACATAACTACCTGCTAAGGTTGTGACAAATAGAGGCATTAGTGTACAGTGTAGTATCTTTATAGAGACAGAGCGTAAGCTCCCTGTCCTTCTTAAGGATCCTCTGGGCGTTAAACAAAAAGCACACACACTCTTTCTCTCTTGGTCATAAGAGCCGCAATACTCCAAGAGATATTCTTAAGCATCATCGACAGATCCGTTGAAAATATCACGACGTTGTCCCGTAGTGTTTTGCGAGTTTTAGTATTTGCGAAGTAGATTGTTGGGAACAAAAACATTTAGCCAAGTCAATACCTTGCTGTTGGTTAAATCACGTAAGAGGGATATCCTGTAGATTACGTAACAAATTGTGATACAGAATGTGGTTGTTACTTGTTTTATTAGTTTATTATAAAGTAAATCTAGACTTTTAGGTAGTATACTAGTAGTAAGGTAGATACTACTAAGAGAGGCAGTATATTATATAAATATTACGTAACTACTTCCCCTAAAGCATACCTACTATATACTAACACTAGTAACTTTTCTTTTATAGTAAAAGTTACTAGTGCCCTAGTTATTTAGATTACCCTTAAAAGCCCTAAAAACGTAATAAAAATTAAAACTCTAAAAGTATTACACTTCTTATAGTTACGTACTATATATTCCTATATCCTCTATTTTTCCTTATAGACAGTATAGGCTTATACTAACTTATTTAGGGGTGTTTTTTTTTAGCTATAGCTATTAGAGGTATATTCCTATATTAGTTAGATTTAACTACTACTATTATAGTCTAGTTAGTTATATAACTTATAATTTATTTTTTATTATATACTTATTATAATCTATTACGCCTATATAACCTAACCCTCTATATATATCTTAGCTTTATTATTTATAACTAGGCCCTTAAGTGCTTAATTTAGGAATACCTTTATAAATCTATTAGCTAGATTATTAGATCTAGTAATCTATTAGACTTTATAGAGCTTATATTACTTATAAGACTATCTTAGTAATATAATATTAATTATAAGACGCTTCTCCCTTATAGTTCCTAGCTTAACTAGGTATTTATAAAGTAAATATAAGTCTATATATATAATAGTTAGGATTAATAAGATATTAAGCTTCTTTATAATTATTATAATAGTTATAGAGAGGGCGTAAGCTATATTAACGCCTATAACTATCTTATACACTTTAGATATAAGGACGCTTTAGGTAACTTATTTAGACTTTATAGATAAGAAATAAAGGATATTACTATAAAGGAGAAATTTAGCTTAGTTATTATTAACTTCCTTATTTATAAAGAGGATAATAAATCCTAACTATAAAGTTATATTATAATTATTAGTAAATAATTTATTTATAAATATAAATAGCTTAGCTAATATAAGATCTAAGGGGATAAATTATAGACTATAGTTAAGTAAGCTTATTTACTATTATAGTTAATAGTTAAGGTCTTTAATTACCTTATTATCTAGCTTCTTATATTAGGCTGTAATAAAAAGATTATAGTATGCTTTAGGCTAGTAAATAGAGGTAATATATACTTCTTACGCCTGTTACTAGATAAAATCTTAACAGGCTATAGGTAACTTTATGTTAATTAATTATAGTTTTACTCCTTACCTTTTTTAGTAAAGCGTAATAGAAGTGTCTATAGTAGATATAACTATAATAATCCTGCTATTAAAGGTAAGCAGTTAGTTAATAGTAAGGAATAACTTATCCTTTATAGTAAATTTTACTTTAGTTAGTTTCTTATTCTCTTAGTTAGAAAATAAAAAGTCTATTAGGCTAATAGTATTATCTATTTATATACTAATAAGTATAAAGTGTAGATTTTTACTAGATAATAAGAGAAAGTAGAGGTTATATATAGTAAAGACTATCTAGAGATTCTCCTTATAGTAATAGTTATAGGTAGCCTACTAGTATATACCTACCTTAGTAATCCTATATAGAGGCTTAATAACCTTTATAATAGTATTATTAAGGTACTTATAATAGATTTAGGCTAGGAGTTTAGTGTAAATAGTATAGTTAAGGTAAAAAGTAAATTAAACATAGGCCTATATAATATTATATAGCTATATAACTTTACTATTAATAAAAAAGGAAGGAGCTAGTATAAGGATAAGCTACTAGCTAGCTTACTAGATAGTAAGTAACTAAGTAAGAATAGCCTCCTTACTATTATTAGTATAGCCTTAAATAATAAGGCGTAATTTCTTATAAGGCTTCTTATTAGTGCTTTTTACCTTATTTATAATTTATAATTTAAAAATTTACTTATATAGCTAAAGTTAGTTAATTATAGTAAATTTAAAGACGCCTTATATAATAAGGCTATTAATCTTAGTAGCTACTAATTACTTAAATAGCTTACTAGGTGCTATAATAACGCCTTTTTTATATAGTTAGATTATAAGGGTTTAATAGGCTTCTTCCTTTACTAAGAGGAAGGTAGTATAAGGTATATTAGTCTCTTATAGTAAAGTGTATCTTATAGGGATTTTCTTAGCTTATTAAGGTTATATAATAGTAGGATTATTAGCGTATAGCTACTGCCCTAAACTAGTTATAATAATAATAGTATCTTTAGTAGGCTTATTACTATAACTACTATTATTATTTAGGATAAATAGGGGACGTTACTTAGCTAAGCCTTTTTCTTTATTATCTGCTATATAGTATAGCTTAACTAATATAGATTAGAAAACGTAAGGGCTATTAATATTAATAGTAAAGTCTTTACCTTAAGTAGTAAGTAACTTATATAGGCTAGACTAACCTCCTTTTTTACACTAGACGTAGATGTCGCTACCTAAGGGCAGATCCTTTATTATAGAGGTATCTAGGCTGTTATAGGTAGTAAGAGCCTTATTAATTTACTACGTTATGTTATATTTATAAAGATCTTTAGTTACCTTATAGATAGCTATTATATATTAGATTATCTTAGGTAAAAGGGTAAAGTTAGTAGTTATATATAAGTAGGCGCTAAATACTAATAAAGTA